TCATGAATTTATAATTTTGCCTACAAATTCTGGATATTCAGAGGTCCGTTTTCTGACAACCTGGTAACACAATCAAAATGTTGATAGCATATTTCTATGCTCATGAAAGCATGCAATTTAAAAAAAATCGTGGTTCTCTAGGTATACTTTCAGGAATTGACCATTTTCCCGATGATTCCGAATATCCACAGGACCCTTTTCTGGCCACCTGGTAGCAGAATCGATATGGTGATAGAATATTTCCTCTGTACTCATGATTGTATGCAATTTCGATAAAATCGCAGATCTCTAAGTCTACTTTCAGGAATTGACCATTTTCTTGGTGAATCTGAATTTCCGTAGAGCTACTTCTCAAGAGTTTTTCCGTCCCGTCTGGCCAACCACCAATCGGTTCCCTGTATGTTCCATTCAAATGTAGACAGTCATGCCTTAGAAATTGTGGTTCAATCTAAAAATATGGTATCCAAATTTCCGACAACCAGTCATGTTAACATGAATCGACACGCATCTAGCTCGTGAATTTTCTCGGTTTTTCCGTTCTGGATGGCCAACCACAGGTTCAATCGAGTTCCAAATAAAAGTAGATAGCCATACCTTTTAAATGGTGGCTGAATCATAACGATTGATTATCGCATTGTCGATAACAAGCAATGTCAACCATGAATTGACACGCATTTAGCAGCTTTGGTACTTTAAGGAAGTTTTAATGGCTTGGAAATCTGTCAGTTTATTTATTTGTTTATTTGTGTATTGAAAAATTCAACTGACAATTATTGTTTAAATGAATACATATTTAGCTGAGCCAGCAGTGTTGGACAGTCAATGTCACCCGTAAGCGAACATAGCTTGAGCGACCGTCCGTCTCACCTCTAATGGTTCGATTCCCAGGAGACGGCAACGCTCCTCGTACGGCCAGCTGAGGAAACGAAGAGCATATCTCACAAACTTGCGTTGAACGGATTCAATTCTAGTGATCCAGCTAGCATGGAAAGGGCACCAAACAACTAATGACTCCAATAATGATCACACGAGCGAGCAGTAGAGTGACCTGAGGCATAGCGGGTCACGGAACTCGCCGGAAATTTTGAAAATAAAGCCCAATTGTCGATTAGCTCTGTTGATGATGTCATTGTAGTGAATTCTGAAAGTGAGTCTGCAGGCCAAGGTAACGCCGAGATCCTTTATGTGCTCTACAAGAACAAGACAGCGTCCGTAGAGAACATAGTCAAACTTGATTGGTTCGATTTTTCGGTGATAGGAAATAATGCTACATTTTTCGATGCTTAGACTCACCAAATTTCTTGAGCACCAGTCAGTAAAAATGCTTAACATATTCTGGAGATCCCAAAAGTCCGAAAGACTTTTAATAATTTTAAAGATTTTCGTATCATATGCATAGAAAACGCGGGATCCTAATGGTATCAGAAAGGCGACGTCCTTTAAAAAGATCGAAAACAGTAGCGGTCCTAGGTTACTGCCTTGCGGAACTGCCGAGTTGTTTGAGAAAACAACCGATTCCGACGCGCCAATCTTAACCCGTTGATAACGATTCACCAAGTAAGATCTGAATCAATCCACAACCGTTGACGAGACGCCAAGTATCTCCAGCTTGGCAAGCAAGATATAATGGCCCACCGTGTCAAATGCAGCTTTTAGATCCATATACGCAGCATCGACTTGCCATCCTGAATCCATCCATCGCAAATAGTTAGAAGTAAACTACATCAGGTTCGTGGACACGGAGCGCTTCGGGTAAAAGCCGTGTAGTTATGTATCGATATAATTTTTACAACACGCGAACAGAGCATAATCTCGAACAGTTTTGAGCAGGCACACAGGGGAGGTGATTCCACGATAATTTGCGACATTCCGTTTATCTCCTTTTTTGTAGACTGGGAACAGATAAGAAAGTTTCCAGCGGCAGAGGAACTCACATTGCTGTGTCGAAAGATTGAATAGCCTCGCAAGTGGAAGGCAGAGATTGGCTACACAACGTTTTAGAACTGATGACGGAATGCCGTCAGGTCCGGCGGCGAACGAGCTTCAGTTTGCGTGTTGCGGCTATCACAATTTCTTTTGAAATGCGTGGAATATCGAAACTAAACACATCACGTGGTATCCCAACAGTAGCATACAGCACTTGTGCCGGCGAAGCGTAAAAATTGTGGAACACTTGCCTGAAATGACGAGCAAACAAGTCGCCTTTTTCTTATTCGTTATTAGCCGAGTCATTCCCGAGAAACATGGAACAAGGCAACCCGGATTCGTTCCGTTGATTGAAAGCTTTAGATACCTGTACCATTTTTGCATTAGTATGATTATGTTGCAAGTACATACATACATACATACATTTATTTGTACAACATCACATTTAAGATAAGACATAATCAACAATAGTACGCCGCAATACTCGGTTTGCGGCTGCCGCTCTCCATCCTCGGTCATGCCCAATGCTCGCTAGATCACGCTCTACTTCCTGGTCCTGGTTCCTGGTCCTGGTCCGCCCATCGTGCTGTCTGCGCTCCACGCCTTTTTGTGCCAACCGGATCAGTAGCGAACACCAACTTTGCAGGGTTGTTGTCCGGCATTCTTGCAACATGCCCTGCCCAACGCATCCTTCCGGCTTTGACCACCTTCTGGATGCTGGGTTCGCCGTAGAGTGCAGCGAGCTCGTGGTTCATTCTTCGCCGCCTCTCACCGTTCTCCTGCACACCGCCGAAGATCGTCCTTAGCACACGTCGCTCGAAAACTCCGAGTGCTTGCAGGTCCTCCTCGAGCATAGTCCATGTCTCATGTCCATAGAGGACCACCGGTCTTATTAGCGTTCTGTACATGGTACATTTGGTGCGGGGGTGAATCTTTTTTGATCGTAGTTTCTTCTGGAGCCCGTAGTAGGCACGACTTCCACTGATGATGCGTCTTCGTATTTAACGACTCACATTTTTGTCAGCCGTCAGTAAGGATCCAAGGTAAACGAATCCCTCCACTACCTTGAAAGTATCCCCGTCTATCGTGACTCAAGAATGGTTTGGAAAGCAAGAAATGTCTTATTGATACCGTTCCATGATGTGTACACTCAATCTAGCTCGGTAAAATCTCCAACAGCCGCTTACCTCGGCATTTACTTTATGTTGATATATTAGAAAAAATCTAATTTGTTTGCTAAGTCTCGGCAATTGTTTTACTGAATCTCATCAAAATAAATTGTAGAACTACATGGCTGTTGAAATCTCGGCAAAACAATTTAAGTGTGTGCATATTGTCAAGAAGCTCTCTTGAGCTTCATGGATTCATACCGATTTACAGTGCATTGTTCAAGACGTTCATTAAGCCGTAATTCAGTTTAACTCTAGAACAGTTTCGAGAATATTAAAATTCTTATTGATACCAACCCATGATGTGCTTATTGTCAAGAAGCTCGCTTGAGCTTCTAGGACTCATAATACATTTCAGTGCATTATTCAAGACTTCATTCAGCCTGTGGATCTTTATGATCTTAGCTTCAGAATAGTTCTGAGAGCATTAAGTATCGTATTCTTGAATAAAGGAATGAAATTGAGTTGCTATCGGAATGCGTAAATAGAACAACAAAAAAGGGTTAGATTTTGATAAATCTTTAGTGGGATTGAGAAGTGAATACCAAATTTAAATAAGTGGAATTAAATGAAAGATAACCTTTTTGGCTGTTTTATCGCGCATGCTATCATACAGCTTTACAAAGCTCGGACGATGGTTGAATATGTCGGAAACTTGCATATCAAATCACATTGAGTCTATAGGACATCCAGATCTTAACTCCAGGATATTTTGGAGAACCTAGAGGACTTCAGGGTCTCAAAATGATGTTTAATGATTAATGAAGGCACGTTCTAAAACTTGTCCCATAATTCAGAATATGTATGGAAATTCCCCATAGTGTGATGAGGGGTTGGCGTACTTCTAAGCCACAGCCTTCTGATTCACTGCTAATTGATTTTACTTGGTTTAGATCGATGGGACCCGATGGGGCTGGTTGGCTTTTAATGGAATTAATATTTGAGTTTAGTTGCGGTTGGTTTAGATCATTTTCCTTCAGGGTGAAGGGTCTGTCTGGTTCTGCCGGGCTCATAGAAATGGAGATAAATTTAATATGCTGCGGGTGATTTGGTTTCCAGTTGCCGGTCTTAAATCGATTCAAATGAAGCATGACTGATGGCGATGTTATAATGAATGTTCTTCTTCGAAATGAAAATCCTTTTCTCTACTTGTGATGTCTATTCGATACTCAAGACACTAGAATGTGCTCTGATTGTTGATGAGTTGCTTTCTGGGACAGGACAAGATAAACGATCCGGTCCTCATTCAACAAATGATTTATGCATATTTCCTCTTTAGTTGACTTTTGGGAACGGCCAATGGCGGAGCTTTTGATGATGCAGGTAGTGAGTGTGCTTGTGTGTTCACTTACCAAAACAAGTATATCAATATTCAAAGCTAGACCTCGTCATCTATTACGGTACTGGGTTTCAAGACAATAATCCGTTTGGTTTTGCTTTCTTAGCATAGACTGAAGAAGACGATGGACGTGATGGTCATCAAATCATGATAAATCATGAAAGATTGGCTACAGGAAGTCTGGTTTTTGGCATGACAAATTGACTACAACGTAAAACATTCGTGCTGATTCATGATTCAAAGATATAGAAAAAAAAATAAAGAGCACTGTCCACGTGAAGCTTACCTGTAGCTCTTATTCATAAAAGTGCAACGTTGAAATACAGCCCGGGCTCCCAACACGTTATCAGCTGACGAAATGCACAATTCCCATAAACAACTCTATCGTTAATATTCTTATCGAAAAAACCAGTTTCTGACACAAACTCTGATAAGTATCAGCTTGTTCATCTAATCCCAGCATATTGACTACCGGCAAATTTTCGATACGCTGACCACTCTCCAATACAACCAAACTGTGATTAGAACAGCCACTCGTTGCCTTGTCTAGTTTTTCCGCACCAAATAGACACAATCTGACCAGTGACAAGTGCATGGTGTTCGGTCTTGTGGAGCTACAGCGCATGGACGCAAAATGTGGACTCGTGTGCCACGGGTGAAATTTTCCAATGGTTTCGACATTCCGCTGATTGGACTGGGAACGTACTTGGTGAGTTTGTGGGCTGTAATTCATTCATGGATCCACGCTATTTACCTCCACTATATTCAGACCCGAGGCGAGGAAGGAGTCAAGTCTATCAAGCAGGCAATCGATATCGGCTACCGTCACATTGATACCGCTTACAGGTACGGGAACGAGTGTGAGGTAGGCCAAGCCGTCAACGAAAAGATAAGGGAAGGATTTGTCGCCCGGGAGGATTTGTTCATAACAACAAAGGTACGTTCGAAGAGAAAAAGTGGTCTATTTCCTATGTCGAATAAATCGGAAAAAAATTTCAGCTATGGAATTCATTTCACGCCCCGCAGCATGTGGCCGAAGCTTTCAAACGATCGATGGAAAAGCTGAACTTGGATTACGTTGACCTGTACCTGATGCACATGCCTATGGGGTTGGGTTTTAGGGGATTTCAAGAACAGGACCTCATCGCGTATGACAGCTCCGGGAAAGTGATTTGCTCTGATGTTGACTTTTGTGACACCTGGAAAGCCATGGAAGAGTTAGTGCACAGTGGAAAAGTTCGCAGTATAGGTGTCTCGAATTTCAACAGTGAACAACTGCAACGTCTGTTGTCTAGTGCAAGCATCAAACCCGCTACCAATCAGGTGGAATGCAATCCCGGCTTTACGCAAAAGCGGCTAATCCAGTTCTGTCGCCATCTAGGCATTACGGTGACAGCCTTCAGTCCCATGGGTCGCGTAGATCGATGCGATTCCTCCAGTCGAGTGACAGCCGATGTCCTGCTACATCCCAATGTGACGGCCATCGGCGCCAAATATGGAAAGACAACGGCCCAGATTGTGCTCCGCTACTTGGTAAATATTTGCCTTCTGATTTATGCCTTCCGATTCAGCGGCACACCTGACACCCATCCATTATCGCCGTGGTCTGTCTGTCTGATGAAGTTCTAACGTTGTTAATTTTGCTCCCTTCCATCAGATTGAGATTGGCACAATACCGATACCGAAGCCGTCGAACCGTGCCGAGACGTTACAGAACATTGACATCTTTGACTTTAGGCTGACACCAGATGAGGTGACCCTGATGGACCAGTTTGACGGTGGTAAGCGGGCGGTGCCATTGAAATATTACAACCACCATCGGGACTATCCATTTGGAAGTGAGGAGATTTAGTCTGCTGGGTATTGTGATGAAAGAATTAGGTTGCATTATCCAATGGAGTAGGAACGGTTTGCGGGGGAGTGATTAGTAACGTTAGGTTCATGGAATGAGTTGATTTGATCATTAATGCGACAGAGTTTTAGTTAAATATGTTCCAATTAGCAACAATAGGTAATTCAATTTGCAACAGTTTGTAATTCAGGATTAATTAACATCACTAAGATGAAAATGATATTCAATTGTCGAGATCAGTCCTGGTCAAGTACTTACAACTGGTAAAGATAGGAATTATACACAGTCAGAAATTATTGTCGTCTTCGGTATTGATTTCACCGAAATCTCAAACTGCTGAAAGTTCGGTAAATCTTTAACCTTCTTTTTAAGCCTATTTTTTTTAAATAATTAAAAACTGACATCAATCTTTTTTTTTAATTACCAATTTTTGTCATTGCAGAGGAGTTTTCAGATTTTTATTTTAGCTTTTGAGTTCAGCTGTTGAGTCTTCGGTGAAATTCACCGAAGTCAACGATAATTTCTAACCCTGTATAGTTAATTAAATACTTACTAAAGTAAGAAGATTGTGTTCTCAAAAGTGCGCTGATTAAGCGAGGAAGGAGAGTATCTCGTAAGTGGAAAGACCTGGGAATGAACCCACAAGTTATTTCTCGCTGACCATTGATGTAGTGAAGTACCATTCCCGTTTTTTTACAAATACGCAATAAATTATTATGTATGTATTCAACATGATTTTAATTACTTTTGACAAACAATAGGCTAAAGCGTAAAGATATGCGTTCAAAAAGACCATACTGAAGTAGAGGACATGATTACAAATCTGAATTAGAATATTTTCTGATTATATATTTTCTTGCACTTTATTGAGCGCAGAGTATCTGATAGCAGCTGCTCCCATGATTCCCAGAATCTTTTTTTTTTGTTAAATAGTTTATTTGATAGTGCTCAATCTAATTAGCTTTACAGAGCCGAGGATTCTTGTTTACTAAACAAAACATCTTAAAAGTATAGTCAAATGTTACAACACAACAAACACTTTATCTTCCGCAATCCAATAAGTATCTTTCATCAAAACGGGAGCCGCTTCCAGTGGTTTCATTGTATGGCAGTATCGCCAACGAGGGGTAAGTTTCTTATAAAAATAGAAAAGTTATTCCTTTATCAAAAATTGTGTTGGTCAAGTGACTAAACAAATATATTTTGATCTTTCTGACCATATAGACCATCCTAATGACACTTACCTAAAAATAGATTCCAAAAAATAAATGAAAACTTTACGGAATACTCCATGCACCTGACTCAAACGGTTTAAGTGTAAACATTTCTGCCTTCCAAAATATGGCGTTTGGACCATTCCCAAGTAACTATAGGCACGTTATTTCGCCTTTTTGCATATATACAACTGAACAACGGCTGCACCAGTGTTTGCCAGTTCTGATGAGGCCAATATATAGGCGAAATAACGTGCCTATGGTTATTTGGGTTGTTAGCAGCTTTGCCAGGTTTGACAGAAACTTTAAAAATTTCGATATTCAAATTTCTTACAAAAAATTCTCTTCTCCGTTCAATGTGCAAGAGCCCATCTGAATCCCAGGAACCATATTAGAAAGGAGGCAGAAGAAGTATTATTTGTTAATTTGTTGCATCGTATTCTGTATAGTAATATGTTAGTAATGTTGTTATGTTAAACGAATTAGTTCCAACATTTTGGAATAAAAAAATTGGTGGGATTGTGTACAAGACACGACCACATGGTTTACGTAGAATACGTTGAGCTTCTGGTGCATTTTTCTTGATATTGATTAAAAATACAGTAGATGTAACTTATTTCCTCAATTTACTTCATTTACTCTCCTTGACATGTCAATTTCCTCACCCACATAATGAAGAACTAGAACTACAAATTTTCAGAAATAGGGGAAATGTCTCTAATGTTGGCCTATGGATCTAAGATTGGGCTCGTCGCTAAAAATCTGCTATTTATCAATTTTTTCTAGATGAACGCATTATTGGGACGTTACTAATGGATATTTTTGGTTGCTATTGAAAATTTAGTCGATTACTAAATTTATGTATGGGTCCAAATTAGGGACACTTAGGCTGACATTACCTGCATTTCCCCTATATCTTTTTTTTTTTTCCATTCTTTCATTTACACAAAGACGCTCCAACCCATTTTCAGAGGTTTAATTTTTTTTTGGACCGAACAAAACACAGCACCACCCAAAAACTCGCTAATCCACTTGGTGCATGAACTATGTAACAAACAACCATGTAAAGCTCTACTTAACACTCCGAATACGGTGGGTAAAAAACTTTACGCCGACTACGAAGCCTCCGAAAAACGTGTAACAGCAAGTTTGCAAAGGCACAACTTAGCCATTTCTTAATAAATTTCAAAAATTGTGGTACCTTTAGAATTCCTTGGGTTTGTAGATAACTTTGATTGTCAAAAGTTTGAAAATAGAGTCTTCTACTTTTTTAAAAAGCGAAAAGAGTTGTTACACGTTTTTTTGAAAGGTGTGGTTTTAGGGTTTTGCAAGTGTCGCAAGATCTGTAATTTAGATTAATGGGCAAAAATGTTCACAATTAGCCAGAATACAGTCATGGTTCCTATATATGGATCCTGGAGACAACGGAACGGTCCTCGAAAAATCCGGAACATCCGTAAAAGTGGTCAATCCATGAACCTGATCCTAGAGCTCTGCGGTGTTTTTGAAAACATTAGGAACTGTGATATAAAAAAAAAACATTTGGGGTTATGACATTAACATGAACCTGGGTGGCTGTGGGACCGTCCTTCGGAAAATCCGGAACATCCGTAAAAGTGGACAATCCATGAAACTGATCCTAGAGCTCTGCGGTTTTTATTAACATTAGGATCTGTGATATAAGAATGACTTTGGGCCATGGACCCAGGTGGCCATCGGAACGTCCAGTGGAAGATCTGGAACATCCGTAAAAGTAGTAAATCCACGATCCTGATCCTAGAGCTCTGCGTTTTTTTTATAAACATTAGGAACTGTGATGATAGAAATAATTTGGGGTTGTGACATAAACATGAACCTGGATGTCCATGGGACCGTCCTCCGGAAGATCCGAAAAAATCCTTAAAGTGGTCAATGTATGGAACTGATCCTAGAGCTCCAAGATTTTTTTGAAAACACTTTTAACTGTTATAGGGGAAATGACGGCTTCGGCATGCCAGACTGTTTTCGGCAACCCAAATTGAAACTCTATTTTCACTGGATTTTATTACGAAAACACTTCGCTGAATGCAAGCAAACGATTCTTTATGCTTTCAGCTTCAATTTGACTATATTTTTACCACTGAGCAAAAGCAATCTAGCAAGGTTTTCTTGAAATGAAACACACGCACTACAAATTGTAGCTGATTTCGAGTTGCCGATAATAGAACAGCAGATTTACATGCAGTTCAAATGGAACGGTTGCCGAAGAAAAACTGGTTGCCGACAATACTCGCTCTCACTAGAGAAGATTGGAGCTTTGTAAAAGCGTTTCAAAACAGTTTTTGACAATTCTTTCGACTGAAATTGTTAGAGCAGCTGGCAGCAAAAGATTTTAAACAAACCAATACTGCATATGTGTGCGTTCGTTAGAGAAAAAGGCTATAGAAAGAAGGTCGCTGCTTAGGTTGCCGAGAATACGTAAATTCCCCTATATAAATTATAATACAAACCGTCCTCCGCAAGATCTAGAACATGTATGTATGTATGTAAGGTAGCCACCATCCTTTCAAGACTTGTCTTGGATGCAGCTCCACTTAATAGCAAGATCAATTTGAGCTACCGATCTGAATTCACTATATCGCTGTATGAAGGGCCAAAAACGGAAGGGTGGACCCGTAAGCAGAGACACTTACGCGAAATCCACGGGAATTTAAGAATCTCCTTCCAACGATACGCTCCAACAAATCGAATAACACAATTCGCAATACTTATTAAGATTCCTACTGGATGGTTTGTTAAGAAGGGCGCGTCAATCGCCCTGAAACTGTTGGAGTAGAATTCACACCACCACAATCGAATCGGTAGGATAAAGAAAATGATAGGGTTTATTCCCTCCTAGACTCCAGCTGTCAATCATACCATCGTCCAGTTTCAGTTTGAATGATACCCTGATGCTCCCTCCCAACCCAGTATTTATTTATATAATGAAAATATATGCAATGGAGAAATGAAATATATCAGAACATTAAAATATGACATAATGAAATACATTTATATGGATAATATAGTTGCTACTGGATTGAAGAAATATTTTACATATAATAAGATGCAGCTCTATACCTCCTCAGCTCACAATGGCAGGTGGATGCAGCACTGAAATGTATAGGGTATATAAGGCAATTAAATATATTTTGCTCGAATGGTACTAACAATAATGCTAAAAATTGTGATGAATAACTAACAGACGAAAAATATAATTTTATTTAATGTTGTTATTTCCTCTGCTTCATCAGCTTCATATTAATTTCGATGACTTGCTTGGGTAACTGGAATATTAAGCTAATAGTAATAGTACATCATGCAATGTATAATTTATATAATATATGAAGTGACATGCAACATATAAAAAAAAAACAAGTTTTGTTATTTATAATCATTGGCCGTGGTATGATTGAACTCAAATTTACCTATTTAATTAATCCACAATTTAAATAAAGAATCAATTTGCTACATAGTCGAGGATATCTGAGCATACAAGATTTATAAAAAAAGTATCAATGAATAATTCTTGAAATAGCAAAATTCTGCAAAAGTAAAACAAATTAAAAACATTGGCCTAATGTATGATGATATTCAATTTATTCTCTGGGTAGTCCAAATTCTGAAAACCATAGATCATATTATATAATAATAAAATAAAATGTAAATAACAATGATTTGCTATTTGATACACCATCAGTATCTGCAGGACAACTATTTCCTGTAAATGAAAATTATTGTTATAATGATATAATGAGATTTTAAATATGTGAAATAAAAATAATTTACTAGTCATGCAATATATAAAATAAAATGAATGTAAAATAAACAAGTATTACAAAATACACATAAGTTCAATTTAAGTTAACCGCAGTACATTTTTTTATTATAATTTTTGATATTTTATTGGAATTGAACAAACTCTTTATTATGCACCATGGAATGGTTTAACGCAATATGGAATGCTTTTTTTTTTAAATATTGGTAAGCTTTAATAAAGAATCAATAGTCACAAAAATCAAGGTTATTTGGACAGTTAACAGTTTTCATGCAATTGTTATCATGCATTACAATGTATTTGTATTTTCCTGAACGAAGGCTGATAAAAGTGAATCATTATAATATTAATTTAAAAATGTTCCATCATCGAAGAGCTGAAAATAAACTTAAGGATTTAAATCAATAAATCCAGCCTAAACGGAGGGTTCGCGAACACAATAAGTTTCCAGTCCTCCGCAAGATCTAGAACATATTTAAAAAATGGTCAATTATCGAAACTGATCCTAGAGTTCTCGGTTTTTTCGAAAGCATGTGGCACTGTGATATAAGAAAAAATTTGGGGTCATGACAAAAACATGGACCCACATGGCCATGGAGCCATCCTCTGGTAAGTCCAGAACATCCGTAAAAGAAGTCAGTCAATGAAACTGATCCTAGGGCTCCGCAGTTTTTTTTTTTTCAAAAACATTAGGAATGAAT